TGATTACAGGATTTCAAAAATATCACATTTAAATATGCAAATGAGGCATAATTTCAATATATATGAGCTAATTTGCGTACATGTCTAAACAAAAATCTGAACATTGGATTGGGTCAGGTTTAATTTTTAATTAATTAATTTATTATTTATTTATTTTTCACATATTAAAATAATATTTTTGACATGTTAAAGACAGCGTTTTTACAAAGGGCATTTGGGGAATCTTTTTTATCACTCCATAATTCAGAAAATACTATGAAGAGACTATGAATTTTATTTTATTTTTAAAATAAATTGTTGTATATAATTAGGCACATTGTGTACAAACAAATCCCTCTTTACAAATCTTCAAAAATATACAGTAGATGTGAATAAAACCGTGAAGGTTGGTGTACAGTATGAAAGAGTAAAATAGAGATGTATGGCTCAGTAAAAGAAGAGAAAATGGCCTTTAAAAATAGGTACTGTAATGGGAATTTATGGACACAAATTGCTAAAGTATGACAAAAAAATGCTTAAAGTGTGTTTTGTATATTTTCTGTACATTAAACTGAATTAAAAAGACAAAACAAAAATGGACCTGTTCACTCTAAAATATAGAAAATACTATTAAGAGCCAGTATTTTTATAGAATAAAATGTTGCACACACTGTACTCAGGCATATTTTTATGAACAAATTCCTCTTTAAAAATCTACAAAAATATACAGTAGATATGAATAAAACTGTGAAGGTTGGTGTATGAAAGAGCTGCTAAAGTGGAGATTTATGGGTTATCCAAGAAAAAAAAAAGTAATTTAGAGAAAATGGCCTTTAAAAATAGGTACTGTAATGGGAATGTATGGACGCAAATTGCTAAAGTACAGCGAAAAATGCTTAAAGTGTGTTTTTTGTAATTTCTGTACATTAGACTGAATTAAAAGTCACTTCATGACAAGCCAAAAATGAGCCTGTTCACTCTATAATTCAGAAAAAACTATGAAGAGCCAGGATTTTTTTATAGAATAAAACATTGTACATACTGTACTTAGGCATATTATTTACGAACAAATACCTCTTTAAAAATCATCAAAATATACAGTAAATATAAATTAATATGTGAAGGTTAGTGTATGAAAGAGCTGCTGAAGTGGAGATTTATGGCTCAGTGCAAAAAAAAAAAAATGTATTTAGCAGTGGTGTAGTGCTAAAAAAGGTGGTGTACTATTACCCACCTAATCCAAATTTTAAAAGTAGGCAAAAAAAAAAAAGAAAAAAAAAACGATGAAAGTCAATGTTTCTTTGATTTATTAGATAATATATATATACACTAAATATCAGTTACCTGTAACTATTGACTTCCACAAAAGAAAAAACAAATACTATGGAAGTCAATGGTTACAGGTGTCTAGCTTTTTTGGAAATATCTTCTTTTGTGTTCAAGAGAATAAAAAAAGACAAACCAGTTTAGAACAAGTAAAGGTTGAGTAATTGATACAAATTTTCTTTTTTTTTTTGTGTGAACTATCCATTTAAAAAGGAAAAATATAAAAACAAATTTATTCATTTTTATCCTAATTCAATGATTTATGCTTAGCTAATAGTGACCCCAGCTGACCTGGAGACTGGCTGAGTATATTGAGCTGTATTTAAATGTATATGAGCATATATTATTATTATTATTATTTTTTTAATTATTATTTTTAATCTAGAAAACAAAAGCAAAGCACACTTCTTCAAAACCCCAAATACTAGCCTATACTCAAGTACATGTACTTTCCATGTATTAAATAAAACCACCATTTTTTAAATTCATAATGGCATAAATATAAACTAATTAAAAACGTACAGGCTAATTTACATATTTCCCTATCGTAATATAAGTCATAATAGGAAATCATTTTAAACACGATACAACAAATGATGTTTCACTCTGATGTCACTCAGATGTATGCAGATAAGTACAGTACACACTTCATGAGGTAATCGCAAACGTTTTAGGGGGCTGAATGGAAATATATGAGGGCTAAAGCGACGACGATGCTTGACATCATTCAGTTAATTTGTTGTGATCTTCGAATAACTCACGAAATGTTCTCGCAGCTGCTGCGCTCGTCAGGGGTGGGGAATGCTGCAAATTAAACAAAAATGCACCAATTGCAAAGATGCAAGTTAAAAAAAAACATTTGGTATACAGTTAAAGGAGACGTGAAATTGAATACATAAATTAGGGAAGTCTAATCCCCAAAACAAGTGAGTATACGCAATTATCGATCCTCAGAAGTGGTAATACACACAGTGGAAAAAAGTAGGTATACTGAGTATACATGCGTATAGTAAGGACTACACCATGGTATTTAGAGAAAATGGCCTTTGAATATAGATACTGTAATGGAAATGTACAGACACAAATTGCTAAAGTCTGACAAAAAAAATGCTTAACGTGTGTTTTGGATATTTTCTTTACATTAGACTGAATTAAAAGTCACTTTATGGCAAGCCTGTTTTGCCTGCAGCGTCTTAAAATCCCCAAAATATTCCTTGAAACATAAGCCAAACGAATCATTGTGTCTCTAATTAGAATGTCAAATGTGCTTTTGATCTTAACCATCACGTTTGATAGCCGTTTAGAGGGGAAAAACATACTTCAAATGACATCATTTAGCTGATTTGGGCCTGGTGTTCGTCAAGTCTGATTGCATATGAAGAATTAGCGTCTATTCCACGTGACCATCTCTAACATTATGCCTCGCCAGAAATAAATGTTAGTGTATGGTGGCCCGGTCCCTCAGCGAGCCTCACTGGTGACCGTTTAAGAAACAGCTAAATCATCATTCTGGGAAACGTAAAAGCGGGCTCTGACTTGCAAAGGGAAAAGACAGAAATTGTCTGATGCCACATTACAGATGGGCTCTTATTATTGCCGATCTTGAAATAACTGGCAAATATGCGCATGTTATTTTTCAGACTTGGTCAGAGAAACATAATTCCAAAGTTTGCGGCTCAGGCCTCAGAATAGCACATTTGCACCTGATGGAGGCATATTGGTTTACTGGAGTTTGGTGAGTCATGGGTTGATCCAGCTCTCCAATCACTCTGCCAACACACACACAGTAAACAGATCATCTGCACCAGCGGGCCAACAAGCAAACTTTGATGAAGACAAATTACCTGCTTAAAAAGAAAGGCTGCAAAAAATAAAAGATGTAATTCTTGTCTCACAATTCTGACTTTTTTCCACTCAAAATTGTGAGTTCACATTTTAGAAGTTGTAAACTAGCAATTCTATATATTTTTTCTGAATTGTAAGATAAATTTAAAGAAAAAAATACCTAATTGTAGAGTTTAAACATTACAACTTTTTTTTTACCGCATTTTGAATTTAACGCATTTCTTTTTCAGAACTGTAAGATGAATTTGGAGAAAAAAGGATGTAATTGTGAGAGTTTACAACTTGCATTTGCAAAATAAAAACTCAAAATTGCTAGACTTTTTTTTTTATTTGGTCATGGGATATGAAAAATAATACAACTCCCCTTACAATTTGAGAAGAAAAAAATATCTAATTGTGTGAGTTTACTAATTAGTTTTCTAATTGCTAGAGTCTTTTTTATTTTGGTTATGGGATATGAAAAATGAAAACTGGAATGCTAAATATAATTAGCTTAAAAAATAATTCACCTCACAACTGACTTTTTTTTACCCTACTACATTTCTTTTTTTCTGAATTATAAGATGAACTGTTGAGTCTACAACTTGCAGTTGTAAAACAAAAACTCACAATTGCTTGAGTCTTTTTAAAATGTTTAGTTTATGGTATATGAAAAATAAAAATTGTCATTATAAAAAATTACTTTAAACAATTCTCCTTAATTTTGAGTTTAAACATTGCAACTTTGACTTTTTTACTCTGCCACATTTCTTTTTCTGAATTGTATGATGCGTCTGGAAATAATAAGATCTAATTGTGAGTTTGCAATTGTAAAAATAAAAACTCACAATTGCTTGAGTAATTTTTTATTTTACTCATGGGCTATGAAAAATGAAAGTTGTCATTCTTAAAAATAATTAACTTAAAAAAAATTCCTCTTACAATTTGGAGCCTAAATGGTACAACTTTGACTTTTTTAACCCTACTACATTTTTTTCTGAACTGTAATATTAATTTGTAGTAAAAAAAAGAAAAAAAATATTGTGAGAGTTCCCCTTACAACTCCAAATAATAAAATTCCTCTTCCATTTTGGAGCTGTAAGGGGAACTCTGAATTTTAAGTTTTTTTTTTTTTTTTTTTTTACAATTGTTTATATCTTGAAATTTTGAGTTTACAGTATGTCTTACTGTTACATTTTTATTTTATTTATTTATTTATTTATTTATCTCGCCATCCAGATTGATTTTTCTGCCATGGAATTTTTTAAAAAGTATCAGTCGATTATAAATCTGTTTTTTTTCTCTTATTGAATAAAATAAGGCAATTGCAACTTTTCATCTCAGCATTCTAATGCCATTCATTTAATGTTACTAGAAGTTTACATCTCTTTTAATGTTTTTTTAATCCAGAGTTTACATGTAAAAAAGGTAATATAATTTAAAATATGTAATATAATAAGGCTAGTTTTCCTTATAAAGGAGTGTTGGAATTAGAAATGGTTAACTTTTACGTTGTCTTTTTTCCTCAGAAAATGATCTCCATTTTCTGAATTTTTTTTTGAGAAATTGTGAGAAACAATAATAAGGATGAGAATTGTCAATTGTCAAATTGTCAGCCTCAATTGTAATTGCAATTCCCAACCACCATTTTATTTATTTTATGTTAAGGTGAAACACACACCATTTTGTGTTCCTCAAAAATAAAAACACTTTTTACAGTGTGAAGAATCTGAACAATAATGAGTAATAATCTGAAGTCCATTTTCCACTTGCGCAGTGGAAAGATTTTTTGGCTGATTAAACCTCACAGAAGCATAAACATCATTTTTAGGACTGCAGCAAATAACTTGTGTATCTTTCTGTCCCACCAGGTGAAAGTGTGGTTTCAGAACAGACGGATGAAGTGGAAGCGGGTTAAAGGAGGTCAGCAGGGGGCAGTAGCCCGAGAAAAAGAGCTTGTCAATGTAAAGAAGGGAACGTTGCTTCCCTCAGAGTTTTCGGGCATTGCTGGACTCCATACGCCAGACTCACTTCTCAACAACGAGGACAGTCAAGACAGCGACCAGAGCTCTGAACACGCTCACTTATGATACTAACAACTTATCTGAGGTCAAGATCAAGTTAAGTACAGACTGAAAGTACAGACTGAAAGTACACGAATACTGCACAACAGGTGCCAATGAGGACAGTTCCTGTTGCGCCGCAAATAGTGTCAGTCCTCGCTAAACTTGTAAAAAAATCTATACACGACTGATATACTGTTGTGCCTTTGAATGATGCAGCGTCTTTCTCATACTTAGGTGTCAATTTACAATGTAAAGATGTTTTGCTAGTTTGATGGAAATGTTTACACGTTCGAAAATATCGTTAAAGGGAAGGTTCAACCAAAACATTTACTCATTTGCTCGCCCTTAAATGGTTTGAAATCATCTTGAAAGTTTGTATTTTAAAGCAACACCCCACTTTATTTTGAGAATAGGCTCATTTTACCACTCCCCTAGAGTTAGAGATGTTGAGTTTGACCATTTGTGAATCCATTCAGCCAATCTTTGGGTCTAGAAGAAGCACTTTTAGCTTAGCTTAGCCTATACATTGTATCTGATTAGACCGTTAGCGTCTCACTTAAAAAATTAAAAAAATAATTTCGATAGTTTTCCTATTTAAACCTTGACTCCTCTGTAGTTACATTGTGTACAGACCGACGGTTTTTTCAGGCTATGGCTAGGAACTACAGTATTCTCTCATTCCGGTGTAATAATGAAGGAATTTGCTGCTGTAGCAAGCACAATCATATTACACTAGTATTATTTTTTGGTCCGGCATAATATCATTGTGCCTGCTGCAACCATAGTACGATTGCAAAGTTCGGAGATTGGCTTGAATGCATGCAAAAATGGTACAATTTTACTGTTTATCTCTAGGTGATTTGTAAAATAATCGTGTTCCTTTAAAGGTGACAACAGATACCCATTTTACAAAAGTTGATATGTCTTAATGAAAATCTATAACTTTGGTAAAAAATTTCTCAATGGTAGAGTAAATAAACACTTTTTACACAGTCAAAACTTACCTTGGTCCACAGTGAGTCGTTTCACTTCGTGGCTCATTAAATGCTAATGAGCTGCTGTTCACCAAACCTTGAGCTTCTGCTGACTTTTGTCTGTATGATTGACAAAATGTGAGAACCCCACACTGGCGTTTTCTTCCTCGTGTATAATTTATAAGTGCTTGACATTGCAGCCAGCCGTTATCCATGTAAAATGTATTCAAACAAACATCTGTACATATGAAAAATGACGCAACTGTATTTAACAAATGCTCAGTAGTGATGGGTCATTCTTGAACAATTCGTTCATTTTGAACAAATCTTTTGTATGACTCAAGAACGATGAGTCCTCTCAGAGATTAATTTGTTTATTTTTCATCGTTTAGGTGGAGTAGAATATTAGTTTCTTTTTTTGAGTCGTTCGTTCATCACATGAAAGACAGAAGTCAGTCATATGCAGTCAGAGCTGGAAAAAGATTTGATCCGTTCATTTCTTGAGTCCTCGGTTTGAGTCATTCTTTGGTTTTATGAAAGACAGAAGCCAATCATATACGGTCAGAGCCTAAAAAAAAGATAAGATTCGTTCATCTCTCGAGTTCTCAGTTTGAGTCCTTCATTCATCAAGTGAAAGACAGAAGTCAATCATGTACAGTCAGAGCTGGAAAAAAATTTGATTCGTTCATCTCTCGAGTCCTCGGGTTGAGTCGTTCGTTCATCAAGTGAAAGACAGAAGTCAATCATGTACAGTCAGAGCTGGAAAAAAATTTGATTCGTTCATCTTTCGAGTCCTCGGGTTGAGTCGTTCGTTCATCAAGTGAAAGACAGAAGTCAATCATGTACAGTCAGAGCTGGAAAAAAATTTGATTCGTTCATCTTTCGAGTCCTCGGGTTGAGTCGTTCGTTCATCAAGTAAAAGACAGAAGTCAATCATATACAGTCAGAGCTAGAAAAAGATTTGATGCGTTCGTTTCTCGAGTCCTCGGTTAGAGTCCTTCATTCATCAAGTGAAAGACAGAAGTCAATCATATACAGGCAGAGCCGGAAAAAGATTTGATCCGTTCATTTCTCGAGTCCTTGGGTTTGAGTCATCTCTCTTTACATGCTGTCACATGATGAAGGAATGACTCAAAAACCAGAAGACTTGAAAGGTGGACTAATCATCTGTGTTTTCGGCTGTGACTGTGTGTATTGGTTAAGGTTATATGGGACTGTCAGTGTCACGTGAACGAACCACTCAAATTTGAAAACCTGTCAGAAGAGGTGAGCTAACATAATCAAAGACAAAAGACCAGGTAAACAATAAATGATTTTCTCTTTCTTATAGCATTCTGGTTATGACTTGCTTGTAGTGTGATCAACATTTGGTGTAGTTGTAGATGAGTTTGCAAGCAACTCGTAACATTTTTCAATATTTTGGCAAATTGAACAAAATGAACAAGACTCAAAGATCTGAGTCTGTAAAACGATCCAACTTCCCATCACTAACGCTCAGCTGGTCAATGTGAAAAGTACAGCACCACACACTGACATCACAGCTCTGCACATGAAGAATAATGATAGGATTTTAAACACGAGTGAACTGAAGCTGGGGTTTGATAATGACAGAATGAACCAAACATAATTTATATATTTTAAATGTCAGAATCGCAAAAGCAAAGAAACAAAAGGCATTAACGTTAATCGCTTTGCTGTCTGTTTGCAAAAAGAGGAGTGGAGGAGGACACATAGTCCGTAGTTTTGTTGATGGGAAGTAACAGTTAAACAACAGTGTAAAAACATGTGGGGTTCCATCGCTGATTTGTGTTGGGACAACATGAAAAAATTAAGTTATCTAATTCGGTTTTATAAATTTTAGTGGATTGAACATAAAACAATTAAGTTGTCCCCCCCAAAAAGACTTAAAAATTGTGTTGTTTAGCTCATATTAAATATGTAGTTTGAACAAGTGGCAATTTTTTTCTTTTCTGAGTGTAGTCTGATCTCACGATGAAATATTACTATATTCAATTTTGTCACTTTCGTGGCTAATTCATACAAATTCAGTTCAGACGTATAAAAATGTTGGACTTTAAATATGAGGCATGTCACTAAACCCCATACCTAAACCCAGCCATCATCAAGGAGCAAATCGTAATCAAATGTACGGATAAAATTGTACAAATTCCAAATAGCATTGGGAAAACCAGTACGAAATTTAAGAAGGTCAGTTATGATACATAAATACACTCATACAGTTTATGAATAAAAAAACAAGTAATGAAAAACATACTTTCATTTCAACTTGTCTGAGCTGGAAGACAAGACAGAAACCTAATTAAATACAAAACACTTTTTTTTTTTATCCGATGTCACCTTTAAAGCATTTTGGATACTGGTAGACTGTTGGTAGAACTCCCTTTAAAAGCATTAGAGGTGTTTTCAAAATCTGACATGCCAGCAAAGCCAATTTTTCCTAGGGTCTGGGGCTTCTGGTCAGGTCTTATGGGTATTTCCTGCATGCAGTTCCATAAAAAAGTCACCCGCAGCACCTTCAAAGTAGTATTTTTCTGCTCTTTTACTTGAAAATAAAATGTAGCAGTCTTAAAAAACAAAAAACGATTGGTCAAATCTGGCCTAATGACATTCCGTTGGATTGAAAAACTGTATGTTTTAGTTTTGCACTGATTGTGCCTTTATTGATACTGATGTTTTTGTACAATTTCAATTTGTGATCGTAAATGACGATCAATTAAGCATGCAGGAGAGTCAAACATTATGTCATGTACATATAAATCTCGACAGCTGTATCATGTGCACACAATAACACATGCTTCAACAATAAACTTTCATATGTTGCCTTGTATGATTTTCCATTCAGTTCTGAATAGATAGATATCTTCAATATCCTCCAAGGGACAGAGCAGCCAGGCACATGATGGCCACTTCTCGCAGCCGTCCATCACGTATCCAGCTGCAAACATCTCCACAGGACAGTTGGGTTCTTCCGAACCCAAACTTCTCATTGAGAAGATGGTGTCAATTGCGTTCAGAGACCAGTTGATCAAGTCCATAATTCCTTATTCATTTGGAGAGCAGGGCAATGAGAGCCTCGGAGATAGAATAAGATGAGGCAAGAGGAGCCAGCCAGGAGAGATATGGGAGGGAGAGGAAAAAAGTGTGACCACCTTCGCCGAGAGCTAAGGAATGAACTAACTACTCCTCATATACGCAGTCGCAACTCAGTACTAGGAAAAGCTAAATTAATAAACAATGACAAACCCAATGCACAGGTAATTTTGTGTTTTAATTAAAATTAAATAACTCTTTTTAACCCAGTGGTTAGCTTTTCCCATTTATGACTTAACCTTTATTACATTTTCTATTTCTATTTTATGCTATACTAAAATCTTCCCATCTAACAGGCTTTTTAGTTTTTTAATAAAATCTAAAAAATATTAAAAACATGTATACTGTTTAGATCATGTACTTCACATACAGTAAGTTTCTGTATAATTAGAGGTATATAGCAGAGAACTTACTTTAATCCGTAAATGTAATACTTTAATACTGAAATAATTTAAAAGTTTTTATACTCGCACGACATGGACCGTCTTTCTGTTATGTTCTGTGTTTGTGTACTCAGCAAATCTTATATCAGAAGTTAAACTGACAAGACTTGAAACAGACTTCAACTGTATATATTTATTCGTTATATTTTGTTATATTATGAAAAATATTCAAATGTTACAATATGTACAATGCATACAATACAGTTTGTAAAGCATTATATCCCTACATGTCTTATTGAATGTATTATATGACAGATCTACTGTAGCTTTGTTAACTAAAGAACTGTAAATCTAATTGGATTTTTATTGTAAACCTTAAGTGAAGTTTATTCATAAACAAATTTCGAGAGGATCATGTGCTTATGATTGTTCACAGCTGTTCCAACTTTAGCTAATGACTGATTATCCTATCAGACGATTCTTAACTCACTATAAATAACCAGACTTTTCTCATCTCAATATCTTCGTCTTGAAGAAACCCCCCCACCCAACCCTACTTTCCCTCCTTTCAAACGGGCGTCACGGTGGCCAGCGATTAGCGCTTTTGCCTCACAGCAAGAATGCCCCTGGTTTAATTCCTTTCCAAACCAGACGGCATTTCTGTGCGGAGTTTGCTCGTTCTCCCCGTGGTCGCGTGGGTTTTCCCCGGGTCCTCCTGTTTCCTCCCACAGTTCAAAAACAAGCACTCTAAACAATTAATCAAAATACATTAGCTAAACTCTGAGTACACCTTTCAGCATACATATCCGACACTTAGCTACAATAAGCAAGAAGGGGAGTCATCGAGATCTACCTGAGCTCAAACTCCCCTCTCGCCTTGCAACGGGAGGGAGCCCAGGGCTCGAGGATCTTATAAGCTCAGGGCTCTCTCCCGGGACAGCACGCCAAACTGGCTTTACTATCAATCATCAGCTAAGTGTGAACTCTTGAAATGAAAGTTTATTTTTATGTAACACAGGCCAGCTAGTGAAGTGCTATCCAGGTAAATCTCACTCCTCTTACCTTAAAAGGTGCTCTAGTGACAGATGCTAGTGACAATGGTCTTTAACTTCCTTGTTAGAGCAACCGACTCCCATGCAAAGAATCGCTGGTTCGATTCCAGCTCAGACTGGGCTGTGTGCAGTTGGACCGGTGGGTTACATGTGGGGGCTCATCCGGGATGGGAGTGAGGTTTAGGGGGTGAGTGTAACGGAGGCCAGCTAGTGAAGTGCTATGCAGGTAAACCTCACGCCTCTGGCCTCTAAAGGTGCTCTAGTGACAGACGTTAGAGGCCATGGTCTTTAGCCTCCTAGGAACCGGTGGGTTACATTTATTTGTAAAGTTTTCACCTTATATACTCTCAAAACAACCATAAATCTACGTATAAAGAGTTAATATGCAAAAACCTCTGAAATTGTCTTTGAAAATAAACATTTTTCTTAGCCTCCAATGTTTTTTTTTCAGTTATTTCACTTTAAAGGCAACAAAAAATAACTTATTGTTTGCCATAAAAGTGGGTTTACTGAACATACATACAGGATCTTGTGAAAAATGCTCATTTTAGAAAAAAATTCCAGATGACATTTTGAGGTTTTTGCATCCAAACTCTTAATATGTTTATTAAATAATTTTATTTTTGCAATTTTTTTCATACAGAAACAGCACAAAAGCCAGCAAATTGTGGCCCCGTAATAACTGACATTGACCAATAGTGACCTCCTTACAGAAGCTGAAATTGTGCGTCTTAATTGCACACAACTGGCCTGGACCTTATGTACCGATACACAGGCGTTGTTGTGTATTCAGCTGTGGCTCTAATTTGTCAAGAACATTTTTCTAACCCTCAGCAACTTCAAATGCCTTAAGCTGAATGTTCCTATAGAGAAACCCAGCGAGGGTCTGCGACTCATCACCGTGATTATGAGGCCAAACGTATGCTAAGGCCGAGCGAGAAGCTTACATGAATACGTTATTAAGGAAGAAGCAGGGGAATATATTAAAATTCAGTTTCTCCTCCAGGCAGGGTCAGGACTTCTACCTTAAGTCTGAGAGGTGGCTGAGGAAAGGGATCATATTATATTACAAAATCAGGTCTGAAAGATTGTCTCGTGTCGCCACAGAGTGAGCCTGCATGCTAATTCGTAACGCAAGCCAGCAGAATGGAGACACGTTTGCCCACCAGGACCTGCGATTCTGAGGGTCCTGCCAAAAGAGTCAGTCTTCGCTTCAACTACTTTTGACGGAAGAAACCGCAAAAAGATATTTTGTTTGAATGTTTTCGTATCACCAAGGAGACTTGCTGCACAATGGAATAGAGAGGTCACACACAAAGTCATGCTACTCTCGGCTTCACATCTGAGACTTTCTCTGCACTTTGACTCCTTGGGTTCCTTCTGCTGGACAGGAAAAGCTACATTGTTTTAGATGTAGTCGGAGACACAAAAACAAAAGCAGTTACTACAAGCTTTTTCCAACATATTGTTACATTTACAGTTGAGTTGGTGCAGCTTTTTCCATCTGAAGAGCTTGTCTGTTTCTTTAAGTAATTTAAAATATACTCTCTCTGGCCACTTTATTGGGTACAGCTTACTAGTACCGGGATGGACCCCCTTTTGCCTTTACAACTGCCTTAATCCTTTGTGGGATAGATTCCTCTGAGATTTTGCTCCACATTGACATGATAGCATCATGCAGTTGCAGCAGATTTATTGGCTGCACATCCATGATGCGAATCTCCTGTTCCACCACATCCCAAAGGTGCTCTGTTGGATTGAGATCTGGTGACTGTGAAGGCCATTTGAGTACAGTGAACTCATTGTTATGTTTAAGAAACCAGTCTGAGATGATTTGCAATTTATGACATGGTGTGTGATCCTCCTGAAAGTAGCCATCAGAAGAAGGATACACTGTAGTCATTAAGGGATGGACATGGTCGGCAACAATACTCAGGTAGGCTGTGGCTTTGACACAATGCTTAATTGGTACTAATGGGCCCAAAGTGTGCCAAGAAAATATCCCCAACATCCTTACACCACCACCACCAGAATGATCTAATACTCTATGACTTTCAGATGAGATGTTAAACCGAGGCTCTTACTCTCTGTGGTCATTAAAAATCCCATGGCATTTTCGTAAAATAGTAGGGGTGTAACCCCGGTGTCCTGGCCAAATTCTCTTTATCGGCCCTTACGGTCATCCCCATCCACCGAATTGGCTCTATCACTGTCTCTCCACTTCACCTATAGCTGGTGTGTGGTGAGCGCACTGGCGTTGTTGTTCTGTGGCTGCCGTCGCATCATCCAAGTGGATGCTGCACACTGGTGGTGGTGTGGAGAGACCCCCCCCCTCATGATTGTGAAGCGCTTTGGGTGTATGGCCATACACAATAAATGCGCTATATAAATACACATTACTTACTTATTATGACACTAACACGCTTGGGGGTTAAAAAATTCGGCTTGAGACTCTCTGGTATTTTCTAGAGGATGCTTTATAATGTAAGTGGATACATACACATAAAATACAAAAATAATTAAATGTTGATCTAAAAATGCTGGGTTGTTTTAACCAAAGTATAAAAAAGTTGTATATATCAAAGGTTGGGTTAATATTCAATAAAAAAAATAAATACTCAAATTTTGAGTGGTACCACATAACCCGAATTTAAGTAAAAAAAACAACAAAACAAACGTAGATTCATGTATTTGTTCATTTAATAAGCCTATTCTCTGTAGCTTTACTTATTAATTGAATTTCCTTTATTAAAAAATATTTTGCAGAGGATTCTTTATAATGTAAAATGTTACAAACATAGAAAAGACGAATATAATTAAGTATTGATCTAAAAATGCAGGGTTGTTTTAACCTAAACGTGAAAAATATGGACTAAGTCAAAGGTCAGGTTAAGATTCAATTTAAAAAAACAAAAAACTAAACAATGAATGGTACCACATTTCACCCAAGCTTGAGTTAAAATAAATTTAGTCATGTCTTTGTTTTTGTAATAAGCCTATTCTCTGTAGAAATATACTAATTAATTGAATTTCCTTTATTAAAAACTCTTTGTTTTTAATAACCCAAAAATTTGGGTTGAAACTATTCAGCATTTTCTGTCTAGAGGATACTTTATAATTTAAAATGATACAAACACAGAAAATATGAAAATAATTAAGCATTGATCTAAAAATGCTGGATAGTTTTAACCGAAGAATGAAAAAAAGTTGTTTATGTCAAAGGTACGGCAACCCAATGGCGCAGTAGTGCTGTCGCCTCACAGCAAGAAGGTCGCTGGTTCGAGCCTCGGCTGGGTCAGTTGGCATTTCTGTGTGGAGTTTGTGTGTTCTCCCCAAGTTTGCGTGGGTTTCCTCCGGGTGCTCCGGTTTCCCCCACATTCCAAAGACATGCGGTACAGGTGAATTGGGTAGGCTAAATTTTCCGCAGTGTATGTGAATGAGTGTGTATGTGGATGTTTCCTAGAGATGGTTTGTGGCTGGAAGGGAATCCGCTGCATAAAAACGTGCTGAATAAGTTGGCGGTTCATTCCGCTGTGGTGACGCCAGATTAATAAAGGGACTGAGCCGAAAAAAAAAAAAAACATTTATGAATAAATAAATGTCAAAGGTTAGGTTAAGATTCAATAAAAATAAACAAATACTTAAACATTGAGTGGTACAACACATTACCCGAATATGAGTAAAAAAAACGAATGTAGATTCATGTCTTTGTTCATTTAATAAGCCTATTGACTGTAGCTTTACTAATTAATTTAACTTCTTTATATAAAACTAAGTACGCATGTTCATAAAGGCATGTTGACTCATTTTTTAATAAAACAAATTAGAACAAGCCTGTTATTAACAAACTAAACACAACTTTTGAAAAGTAAAACAAAAAGTTTTGACTTCTGTCATAACTGATAAGAAATATTGAGATTACAATGTATAAGGTATCAAGAAGATTAAAATATATGAGGTATCAAAAATAAGGGTAAAAACGACTAAAAATCCAACTTTTTTTGTAAATATGCAAGAAAAAAATGCCAAAGACACAATATGAACAAAAAGACAAAAAGGTTACATAAATATATCCCAGCAAATTATACAATTTTAAAAGACTTACATCAAGAAAGAGTTTTACATGCAATATAATCATTATAGAGAGTCTTTTAAGGAGTTCACGTACAAATAAAAACCCTTTCTAAAAATAAAAAGTTAGGTTGTTTCTTTGAAAATGTACATTTATGGGTGTAAAATTTAGCCATAAAAATCAATAAATTGATAATATATTTACAATGAGAGGGGTCTACGTTTAGAGAGTAATGAAGATTAAAAGTTCAAGGGATATGCCTACACACAAGTTTGCAAATACGAATCTGGTAATAAAATTGGAAATGTCAACCCAAAACACTTTACAGTAAGTGCACTTCCAAGATAAACGATTTAGTGATTCATTTGGGGTAAATGGTGAACAAAAATCTAACATAAATAAAATCCTTTGAAGTGACGTAATTTTGTAATATTAAGCAAAACGTGCGACTGTAGTTGTAATATTTTCCTTGCGTCTCTTATCAATATAGCTATTATCTACTATGTGTATCTGTAAACTCTCCAACTTTGTGCAGTAAGCCAGACGCAGGCCAATAGTTAAAGTTGTATAATCTCAGTAAGTAAAAGTGCTCGTCTGGCGTCACGTGATCCCGTCATCCATCTTCATACGCTCTCCTCGTCATGGTGAAGTTCAAAGGTCCGAGCGCTTGTAGGTGTTCATAAACAACATCCAAGTAATGCTGAGAGTAGCTCCAGCTTCACAAACAAACACAATGGCGCAAGTGGAAGCAAACAATGTGACTGTTTCTCAGGGCTTTCGGATGCTGTTCAGTCTGATGACGCCTGAGGAATCGTCATTCGCGACTGTAGAAGAGGTGCCGAAATATGTCAATCAGGTAAGCGTGACGTCATTGCAGAGCTTAGGAAAGTTTAGGATTCATGACAGCAACACAAGTGTTTGTTTGTTTAGCTGAAGTGCTCACACACGCAGAGCTTTATGGGATGTTTACGTCTTTTTATCGACCACATATGTCCTCCTTTTTCTGTTTTATCACGCGCAGCAGCTCCAAAAACTGTTAGATTCATTGTTAAAAACACAAACAATGCCTTACAACGCAATATGCCATGTCTTTATACAGTGAAAGTTTGTGTTATATGATCTGTACTGTATGTATTGTACTGTTGGGCGGCATCACAACTGTCACTCACATACAGCATCCATTGATAGCTTGTTTCGTTTTGTTGCAGAAAATCACAGCCGTTTTACACGAATAATATGCTGATAATAAGCACAATTCAATTATTTACACTCATAGTATAGCCTAATTTCACAAAAAAATAATCCATGACTCCTAATCCAGCAGACATTGTGTAAAAATGATTATCCTTTAAGAAATGCAGTTGTATACTGTATTACATTATACAGTAACAAAAAATAAACTGTTAAAGGCATAGTCCACCTAAAAGAACAAAAATCTGTTATCATTTACTCACCCTCACATGATTTACCACATTTGATTTAACTTCTGTTAAGCACAAAAGAAGATATTTTGAAGAATGCTGGTTGATTGTACCCATTGACTTCCATAGTATTTTTTCCCCTACTATGCAAATTAACTGGGTCAGCCAACATTCTTAAAAATATCTTCTTTTGTGCTCAACAGAATAAAGAAAGGTCATACAGGTTTAAAACCACATGAGGAAGAGTAAATGAGGTAATGATGAGGTAATTTTCATTTTTGGCTGAAGAACTATCCCTTTAATTCTGTGCTCCATAAACTGGATACGCATGATGACAAGCACGTTCGCTTGCTAAAATTATGCAATACTGATCCAAAGGCCTTTGTTATTGCTGAAAAATAAAACCAATAAATATGGTATCGACATTACATCAGTAACAAACACAATTAAATTAGATATTCATAGTTTTTAAGTTAGTTAGTTCGTTAGTCGTCACCTTGGAATAATAATTTCTATCTGCGTTCTGAATAATTTTGAGATATTGAGCTTCAAAGTTTTTGAATTCCTTTTAGCAAACAGTATGTGTAACATTTATTTTAAAATAAAAAGTCTTAAAATGTAAACAACTTATAAAAAAAACATTCCATAATGTAAATAAGTTGTCATTTAATAAGAAAATGTCAACAACTCAATTTTGACAGAAATGTCAGATAGAACCTTATAATTTTAAGGTGACAAGTATACTTTATCTGTCCCCGTAGAGAAATTTCATTTGCAGAATACACTCAGAGAGACATCTGACAGTTTCTTGGAACCCCTGCTGTAAATAAATATCCACTATAGTGGCCATCAACTGCTACTGGAGGAATTAAAAAACTATATAGCTTGAGGTATAAATGATACTTTTGTCCCATTTCTTACACATCTGGCAACACAATATCGACTACCTGATGGTAACAACCTGAAGGCATGTGATAAAGGATGCCTCTCATCATTGACAATCATGATAGCCTTATTTAAGATTTTTGGTTTGTATATACTATCAATCCTACTTAGTTTTATTCCCTACAACTTATTGGCTGTTGTTACCACCTTCCCCAGTGACCTCCTATGAGCCTCAGAAACATTCCCTTACCAACAGATCACACACTATAAAACATGATCATCAATGTGTTGTCAACATTAAAAAACAATAATTTCTCTAAGAAGAACATTTAGTGTTGAAGCTTGAATCCTTATACAATTAATTCATACATGCCACTTTTTTTGTTTGCTAAAATGACTGTTAAAAGCACATGTATCATGCATGCATGACTTGCAAAAAGTATAATGTGACATTTTGCAGTGCAAAGTACAGATCTCTGTGTTATATGAGCAGTACATGTAAGCACAAGTCATTTGATGGTTATACAATACAGATCTATAGGCCTGTTTTCTTTCATTGCAGAAAATAAATGATATACTAATCAATTACACAGATAAATCTAGATATTATATATTGATAATAGACACAAGATGATAGGTTCATACATTTTTGTTTCACAAAAGGATTCCAAGTCGATCTTTAGACCTTTGTTTACTGCAGAAAATAAAAACTAAGCAAGTACACGCACAGATAAATTTAGACGATTCTATTAAAATTGATATTTAAACCATTGTATATTATTATAAGCTTCACCATAACTGCTGTTTTAATGCCTGTGGCAGTTTTCTTTGTGTTGAAATTGTTAAAATCAACTTCTGTAAAAACACCTTCTGTTATGTAATATCTCATTGCATTAAAAAGAAAAGGCTGCACAGTTGCACAGTGGGTAACGAGTTCGCCTCACTGCAAGAAGATCGCTGGTTTGAGCCTAGGCTGGGTCAGTTGGCGTTTCTATGTGGAATTTGCATGTTCTACTCATGTTCGCGTGGGTTTCCTTCAGGTGCTCTGGTTTCCCCCTCAGGTCCAAAGACATGTGGTATAGGTGACTTGGGTAGGCTAAATTTTCTGTAGTGTATGTGTGGTGAATGGAAGTGTATGGATGTTTCCCAGAGATGGGTTGCAGGTGGAAGGGCATCTGCTGCGTAAAACATATGATGGATAAGTTATTGGTTCATTCCGCTGTGGCGACCCCAGATTAATAAAGTCAAAAAGTGAAATGACTGAATAAATGAATTATAAAGAAAAGTACTGTATATTACTGTATAATACACGAGTTTTAGGCCAACATTAGATCTGTTGTTTTACTGATGGTATAATGGATATGTGTGACCATTAACCACGAAACCAGCCATAAGTGTAATTTTTTTATCAATTTAAAAACAAATATTAGATTTATACTGGCTGATGTATGGTTGGTTAGGATAAGAGTTAGGTTCGGTTAGAGTTTGAATTATTTTGGTGTAATTGTTTAAGACATGTGAAAGACAATGTTGAAGAGAGGCTGTTTGTCCTGGTTTGAGCTGCATTTCTGCCAGTGTTGTTGTTGTCTGAATTGATGGAATTGTAAATGCAAAAAAAGCACAGATAGGTTTTTAACCATTTAAACCATAAATTGTATTCCTTCTGGAAAGGACTTCAGTGGTAATAGTTTTTATTTTCTGCATGATAATGATCTGCTAATTGCAGTGAAATTCTATTTGGAGAAAGAATACAGCTGATGAAATAAAGACAGTCATGAAATGGCTTCCACAGGGTCCGGACCTGAATATTATAAGGATCACATGTACAGAAAAACAAAGATATGACACTCTAAGCCTTAAAGAAAAACTCTGGAAAGTGCTAAAACAAGCCTAGTATTACACAGCACATTATTTCAGAAAATGTCAGGACGATTAGAACAAAACAGTTCAAGCTGTGCTTGGTGCCAAGGGAAGCCACATTAAGCATACTGTAGACTTAGTTTGAAGAGGAAATAATGTGCTGTTTTTGTTTTTTCGTACAAATTTTCTATATTTTCTGTTTGTTTTTAATACAGAGACTGATTGGTTTTATATTGTGCAAAAGTCTTAGGTCAACAATGCTGCTATAGTGCTAAAGACTTTTGCACACTACTGTATATTAAGCCAGTACACTGTAAACAAATACTGGTCGCCTTAAATTTATAAGCCGAATCAAATGAACCTTTTAAGTCATTTGAACTTGTATTAAACTTACTTAATGGCTTGCGTAACTTATAAAATTAAGTTAGAACATGATTAACTTAGTTTAATATGTTACAATTAACTAAAAGCTTATGATGTCATGACTAATTGATCATATTTTTTTTTACAATGTATATACCACAAGACAAGCACTTTTACTTAAACCGTACACTACATAAATATGTAAATACACCTAACTTATATGTTAGACAATAAAATGAATAGAATTACACATTGAATACTATATACATTATATAGTCTATTAATTATATTTATGAAAATATGGATAATATTATTATTTTATGCCATTTATAAGGCATAATTTTGTAATCTTCAGGGCTTCTTCAGTATTGATAATACTCATTATACATGTTTTTAATATACTCTGACATGATGCTCTTTTTTCTGACTTTAATGGTGACTCCTCCCATGTTTTCTAACAAGTCTAAATCTAAGCATTTAAGTAAGTGCATTTTTCACCTTTAATTGTGTGGTTTTCTTAATTTTCATAGAGGTGTAAAAACAGTGAACACCATGCCTGAAAACATTAAGTAAATAAGTCTGCCACCTGCTCAGGTTTTTATGCCCTGCAGCGCGGTGCTCACTCCTCTCGTTTTAACAGACCCATGTGTGTTCTTTTGGGTTTGGCTGCACTCAAATCAACACATGTTTGTTATTTGAGGTAAAACACTCACATTTTTACAGGCCTCCATAAACACATGAATAGAGAAATAGCAATTAACCACACAGCAGGAATCCTAATTGTTGTAATTCTGTCACAAACACACACTTGTTAAATTGCCTCCCTTAACATTCTGCGCAAGTTTATTTGAAGTTTCTGTCGCTTGATGTGTGTGTGGGTGCAGCAGACAATAGAAATTCTCAGTGCTTTCTGGTCTCGCACAGTATACAGATTTGTGTTTCAGCATTTTAGAAATAGTTTTTTTGAATTTGCCATAATTAAAACTGTCATCGTGGTGTGTGTTGATTAAAAGTTTATTAAAACAATAACTTTTCTGATTAGGCATTAATTTAAAATTTCAGTTCAATATTTTCAGAATTTTCTTCAATTTAAAATTGTATCCTGTGATTATATACTATTTCGAAGTTGCTTTGAACAATAAGTAAACTGACTATTGAGTTGCTCAGTTTGAAAATAAAATAAAATAAAATTAAATTAAATTAAATTAAATTAAATTAAATTAAATTAAATTAAATTAAATTAAATTAAATTAAATTAAATTAAATCTTCACTGCCAACTATTCCAGCATGTTTTATGCGGCAGATGTCCTTCCAGCTGCAACTCAG